TTTTTTTTTTTTAAGTAAGCTCTATGCCGAAGGTGGGTCTTGAACTCATGACCCTGAGATCAAGGGTTGTATCCTCTACCCTCTGAGCCAGCCAGGCATCCCTGATTTGACGTTTTATTGGTGGTGACCCCTTCTTTTGCTGGGAGGAGAAAGGAGTGCAGCGCTTTGGGGTAGGAGAGAGGAGTTCTTTCGTCTGGGGGCAGTGAAGGATCAAGGGCTTGGATCGGAGTCCCAGCGGTGATCCTCAGTTCTGCTGCCCACCCCACACCCTACAACTGCAAGACTGGGAGCTGGGAAGGACACTTCCCCACCCCAGAGGCACACTTTGAACTGTGCCCACCTCATGGGGTCGTGTGGATTCAAAGAAGTAACGGTAGTAGTTAACATAGCTGCCTGGCACCAATTAATGTAAGAAGCTTACAAATTACTCCCAGGTTGGACACTTTCCATGAGAAATGACTCCTTCTGAATTGGGACCTGGGCACGGGCTGTCTCAGCTCTGGCATCCGTACCCTTTCCCTGGATTTACTGCCCCCAGGGACAGGAGTATAGGGAACTACACCAGGAGCCAGCCCCACTCCTCTCCAGGCCCAGGGAGTCCCTGCACGGTGTACACAGCCTTGGGGGAAGCCTGCTTGTCAGAAGTAACCACCACATTTTTTAAGTTCGTTATTTATTTTTCAGAGTGTGTGCACCAGCAGGGGAGGGACAGAGAGAGGGAGAGAAACTCAAGCAGGTTCCAAGTTGTTAGCACAGAGCCCAATGCGGGGCATGACAAGGGCGGAACTCGAGTCGGCCGCTTAACCGTCTGAGCCCCCCAGGCGCCTCAATCACCACACACTTCACCGATGTTCTCTAATGCTGGGTTGACCAACATTCCCGGAAATAAAAATTCTTGCAGACGATCAAGAACCTTAATTGCAGTTTTCAAATCAGCAGCACCCTTTCCGTCCACGAGATGAAAGCATACATACCCCAGAGGCCCAGGAAGAGTGAGGCTGGGGAGAACGGTGGTGTCGCCGTCGGTTAACCGTCCGGCCCCGCCGTTCCCTGGCCAAAGGCGCTGTGTCTCCTGCAGGGCAGGCTCGGGCAGGCTCCTCGCGGGGTTCGGGGACCGCAGGTGCGGGGGCCCGGGCGGCACGGGTTCCGTGGGGCGCAGCGGCCGCACTGACCCTGCCCGCCCTCCCGGCGCACGTGCTCACCCGCGGGCTCGGGGCGGACACGCCCACGCGGGTTGCTCGCGCTGAGAGGCACGCGGACAAGGCCCTATTGTCTTGTTTTGTAAAAAGACACCGGAGCGTTCCCTGGGCACGGCGATCTTAGAACACCCACCCAGACCGCTAACGACGTACCACAGAGGTGGACCTCCGCGCCTGTGCGCACGCGCGACGCGCGACGCCCGGGCCCGGGACGCACGCGCGCTTCCCCCGCGTAAGGCTCCGCAGGCAAGGCGAATCGAGCGCCGAGCAGGCGGCGCGTGGGCGGTGCCGCATGCCGAGCAGACTCGCCCCCGCGCGCGGCGAGAAACCCTAACGGTCAGCCCCCCACCCCACGGCAGATCCGAGGCGGGGCCGGATGCGGGAGCAGCGTTGCGGGAACTCGACGAAACGCGAGTACGTTCGGGGCGTCAGGGACCAGGGCGGCACCCGGGAGAGCCTGCGCGGGACGCGCGTACGCGGCCTGAAGACTAGCCGGGGCGGGGGCGTCGGCGTCGTAGCCGACGGGGGGCGGGACCGAGGGCTAGTGCGCGCAGAAAGGCGGGCGCCCCGGCAGGTGCAGCCTTGGGAAAAGGAGGGGTACTCGGGCGAATGGAACCTTTGGGGCAGACGGTGGCGCGGGACCAGTGCAGCCCATGGGGGGGGGGGGGGGGGAAATGTCTGGAAGA